GTCTCGGCCTCCCAAACTGCTGGGATTACAGGCTTGAGCCACCGCACCCGGCCATATATTTTATTTTTTTTAAGACAGGGTCTTGCTCTGTTGTCCAGGCTGGAGTGCAGTGGCACGATCTCAGCTCACTGCAACCTCTGCCTCCCGATTTCAGGAGGAACTGACTCCCAGAATTGAGTCCAATCCTTTGCCCATACTGTAAGACCCTTCTGCAGTGGTCCTACACCTATTATTATAGTCTTCTAACCTGGAATAAAGTCCACCTTACTGTCTTCATTTTTATTATTATTTTTGAGACAGAGTCTCAATCTGTCACCCAGGCTGGAGCGCAGTGGTGCGATCTTGGCTCACTGCAACCTCTGCTTCCTGGATTGAAGTGATTCTCCTGCCTCAGCCTCCCAAGTAGTAGGGATTACAGGTGTGTGCCACCAAGCCTGGTTACTTTTTGTATTTTTAGTAGAGATGGGTTTCACCATGTTGGTCAGGCTGGTCTCAAACTCCTGACCTAAGCTGATCTGCTGGCCTCGGCCCCCCAAAATGCTGGGATTATAGGCATGAGCCACCACATCTGGCCTGCCTTACTGTCTTTAAAAAGAAAAAAGAAATATAAACATAGAATGTCTTTGAGTGGCAGAATAAAAGATTACTCCCCCTAGTTCCCTATATTTTCACATTTTTGATGCTCAGGCTAGGCGTGGTGGCTCATGCCTGTAATCCCAACACTCTGGGAGGCTGAGGTAGGTGGATCGCTTGAGCTTCGGAGTTTGAGATCAGCCTGGGCAACATGGCGAAACCTTGTCCCTACCACATAAAAATAAAAACAACAAAATTAGCTGGGTGTGGTGGTGCGTGCCTGAAGTTCCAGCCACTCAGAAGACTGAGGTGGGAGGATGGCTTGAGTCTGGGAAGTTGAGGCTGCAGTGAGTTGAGACGGCGCCATTGTACGTCAGCCTGGGAAACAGGACAAGACGCTGTCTCAAAAAATAATACTACTACTAATTTTTTAAAGCTCAGCTGTAAGATTTTGACTCCATTCTTTCAAATAGACTCACCTAACTGAATATTGTATGCCTCACTGAGTGAATTTCAACCAATACCCTGTCCTTCTCAGAAGGTTAACCACAGGAAAGGGAATATCTAATTTTTATTTATTTATTTATTTTTGAGACGGAGTTTCACTTTTTGCCCAGGCCGGAGTGCAACGGTGTGGGCTTGACTCCCTGCAACCTCCACCTCCAAGGTTCAAGTGATTCTCCTGCCTCAGCCTCCCGAGCAGTTGGGATTATAGGTGGCCGCCGCCACGCCCGGCTAATTTTGTATTTTAATTAGAGATAGGATTTCACCATATTGGCCAGGCTGGTCGCAAACTCCTGCCCTCAGGTGATCCGCCCACCTCAGTCTACCAAAGTGCTGGGATGACAGACGTGACCCACCGCACCTGGCCACATCTAACATTTTAGACTCCTCTCCATAGAGAGGGCACCGGTTTGCTTTCTATGAAAGAAGAGAAGACCTTTGTAGAAAGTGTCTTTCAAGAAAGCGCCTGGGCCTTGGGAGTTTAATTCCCATGATGGTGAGAAAATCACGAAAACTCTGAGCCTGAGTTTCACACTCTGAGGAAAATGGAGATTTCACACCCACCTTTCGGGGTGTTGGCGGCCCTGCCAGGGTTGTGTTTTCAGTGCTCAGCCCACTGAAGTCACCCAACATGCGTGACTTCATTTCTCTCACTTCCTTTTTATTTCCCATTTATTCTTAAAATCGCAAATATCAATTTTTGGTTGGGGATTATTTTAGTGCAATAAATAGAATTATGTTTTTAAAATATATTTGAGTATTTTCTTTGTAAACATTCTCAAGTTAGCAGAAAATTTATACCCTTGGTACTGAGAGTTTTGAAAAAGAACTGATATAATCCAATTGCAATTTTTTTTTTTTTTTGAGA